CGGACCCGCCTCGCCAGCAAGCTCTCCAAAGCGTGACTGAAGCCCAAATGTCCCCATCTCATGGCGCACCTAGTATGGGGGGTGGTTTGCCTCTACTTTTTGTTCGGCTTTTCGAGACAGGGTTTCTCTGTGGCCTTGGAGGCTGTCCTGGAACGCTGGAGACCAGGCTGGTCTCGAACTCACAGAGATCCGCCTGCCTCTGCCTCTCTCGAGTGCTGGGATTAAAGGTGTGCGACACCACCGCCCGGCCAAGAGTCTTTTATTATTATCGAGTTAACTGAATTAACAAAAGCCCAACACAGCGGAAGGAAATGTATTGGGGGAGCAAGGGCGTGTCTAGGGGGGGTCTGCAACGGCTTCCGGGCTTGGGCAGCCTGTCCTGTGTTGATTGGCCAACTGGTTGCTATGGCCTGTAGGCCCTCCTAGGGCTGTTGCTATGCTCTGCCCATCAGCTAACTTCTGATTGGTTTCTTGCCTGGTGGGTGTCTGACCTAGGGCAGCTCCTGCAAGGCCAGAAGGCCAGAAACCAAGCCTGTGTGCCGAGTCAGGGGCCTTTGTCTCGCCAGATGGAGTGTCTGATCCCTTCAATACCTGTAGGCAAAACATTCATACACATAAAAAAACAAATCCTTAAAAAAGTTCAAGTTCTTTCTTGTGCTACTATGTTTGAGGCCAGTCAGAAATAAGTAAGATCCTATTTCAAAAATACATGTTTTTTTTAAACACCAAAACTTTTGTTGATGATAAATATATATATATATATATATATATATATATATATATATATATATACATACATACATATATATATATATATATATTATTCTAAATATCACCCAGGTCAGAGAACTGTGGAACTGAAACTACAATCAAATTTTAGGGGAAAAGTCACTCTTAAAAGGCAATTGTTTCCCATCTCCTTATATCTTCACCCTCTGGCCATCACTAGTCTATGTTCTGCTTGTAGACTGACCTATTCTAGACGTTTCAAATAAATGGAATTGCATGTGATCATGTCTAGCAGCCTTCCCAAGTCCAGATAGCTTCATGTTCTGAAGTCCAACATATTGTGGCTAACATTGGTATTTCCTCTTACTGCCTTTCGATATTCAATTAAATGAATATATCATAATATACTATTTCTCTCATAGTTCATTAGCATTTGGGTTGTTTTTCACTTTTGCTGTAAATAAATTCTTCCCTCACATAATATATCCTGATTGGAAGATCCAGTGTGTGCATCAAGTGGCCAACAGGAGACAAAGTATTTTTGTCTGCCTGTGGCATATCAGCTGATCCCCCCTTCCCCCCTCCCCGTGGCTCAGGTCCCCAGGCTGTCAGCCCAGGACTGTGGTGACCCCAATCACTAGGTGGAGGCGAAAGCTTGATGCAAACAGCAAGAGGTTTTATTGTTTAACGAGCTAACCCCATGTTAGCTTGGGCCTTTCATCCATCCACCATGGTGGATGGCTGGGGAAAAACTCTGAGAAGCCACGGACGGAGATCTTATAGGGCAAAAGGGGAGTGTCTAGGGGTACGCAATGGCTCAGGATTGGTGTGCCTCCAGGCTTGGAGGACTTGCCCTGTGTTGAGTGGCTAACTGGTTGTTATGGCCCATAGGCCCTCCCAGGGTGGTTGCTATGCTCTGTGAGTCATTGCTGTGCACTTGTCCGTAAAGCACACCCAGAGCCGTAAAGCATAGCACCACCAGCTAACTTCTGATTGGTTCCTTGCCACGAGGCAGGCATCTGACCTCCTAGTGACCAAGGCAAGGTCAGGCAAGGTCAGGCAAGCACGTGTTCGGCTGTTATGGCTCCCGAAATGGGGAGCCGGTCCCTTCAGTTTGATGGGGCCCACCCCAACTGTGATCCTCCATGCTGCTCATCTGTCTGGACACTAGCCTTGCACCTTGCCTCCATGCTTCTGTGTCTTGCCTTCCACAGTCCAGTGTCTCTGCGGCTCGGCTCTAATCTTCAGCTTAGATGTTCATACCTGAGACCCTGCAGCTCAGCAGATCTCCAGCTGGGTTTCTTACATTTTCTAATCACTTCAGTCCCCAGTAAAACCTCTTTGAACTATGAGCCCTCTTTAAAACTTTTGTAGCCTCTGTTAACCACCCCCCCACACACACTTTTGTAGCCTCTGTTAACCCACACACACACACACACACACACACACACACACACACACGTACATACTTTACATACCTTACATGCAAGGTGTAATGTGTGATCTAAGAGTTAATATCAGTAAAAATGGAATAAAAGAACTTGTGTTTAAGGGAAAAATTCATGGACCCTGGAGAATGGGAAGGGGCAGGATCTCCTGAGCTAATTGAGAGCATGAGGGTAGGGGAGAGGGAGCTAGCAGAATGAAAGAAGGAGAAGAGGAGGGGAGAGGAGGAAATGGATGAGCAGAAAGGTTGAGCTGGGGGAAGAATAGAGGAGAGCAGGATGAGAGATATATCAGAGGGAGCCATTATAGGTCCAAGGAGAGATGTGGCACTAGGGAGATTTCCAGAGATCTACAAGGATGACACCAACTGACAATCTAAGCAATGGTAGAGAGGCTGCCCTAAATGCCCTTCCCCTATAATGAGACTGATGACTACTTTATATGCCATCCTAGAGCCCTCATCCAGTGGCTGATGGAAGCAGAGGCAGACACCCACAGCTAAACACTGAACTGAATTCTGGAGCCCAGTTGCAGAGAGGGAGGAATGAAGAACAAAGGGGTTGAGACCAGGCTGGTGAATCCCACAGAAACAGCTGGCCTGAACAAGGGGGAGCACGTGGACCCCAGACTGCATTCTGGGAGGCCATCACAGGACTGATCCAGACCCCTGAAAGTGGATGTCAACAAGGAGACCTCTACACCCTATGGGGCCTCTGGTAGTGGATCAGTATTTATCCCTGGTGTAAGAAGGGACTTTGAGAGCCCATCCCATGTGAAGGGATGCTCTCTCGGCTTGGACATATGGGAGAGGGCCTAGGCCCAGCCCAGGATGATGTTGTGGATTTTGGGGAGCCCCCATGGAGGGTTGGGCCCTCCATGGGAGCAGAGGGGGGAGAGAGTGGGGAGTTGGTGGAGAGTTGGGGGAGGGGAGGGAGAGGGAGAAGGGATTGACATGTGAAGCAAACTTGTTCCTAATTTGAACTAAAAAATAATAACTTGTGCTTGCCAACAAGCAACAGAAGGTCAAGAGTACTTGGTAAGTGAACAAAAGCAGCATAGTTATGGCTCTATTTCTATTCAATACATTCCAGCATTGTGGGAAGACACAAACTGGTCCATGTTTCTGGCATAGTATTCTACAATAGCTTCTTTGCAGATGACTGAGTTTTGTTATCGGTGTTGTTGTCACCTGTATCATTTTCATCATCACCATCCAATACTTCCCCCTAGAGTCTCTGCCACCCAGCTCTGTGTTGCTGTACTAGGGACCTGCTAAATCGATGAGATTAGCCTTGAGGAACTTAAAACTTTAATTCATTGCATAGACTAATAAGTATTGTTTTACTTTTACGGTGAAAATTGGCCATTTTTTTTTTGTTTTTTTTGTTTGTTTGTTTTTCGAGACACGATTTCTCTGTGGCTTTGGAGGCTGTCCTGGAACTAACTCTTGTAGATGAGGCTGGTCTCGAACTCACAGAGATCGGCCTGCCTCTGCCTCCTGAGTGCTGGGATTAAAGGCGTGCGCCACCAATGCCTGGGAAAAATGGCAAGTTTCAATACATTTTGCTATAAAGAAGTTCACAATAAACCTCCTCCAAACATGATGTTCTTATTTATTTTTTATTTTGAATTAAAGACATTTAAAAATTAGCAGACACAAGACAATTCCCTGACTTGTATTATTTCTTAAAAGGAGATGAAATTCCAGTGTAAAGTTGTTGTTCTCAGTCAGGCATGGTGGTGCACACCTACAACACTAGACCTTGAGATGCTGAGGGTTAGGGTCTTAGGTCAGCCTGGGTTACAGAGCTCTCCCTTGAAGTGACTATCCTGTACTACCCTGATCACTGAGCAGGGGACGCTAATTAAACATTACTAAAGGTCCCTACTATCCTGAGCTCCCCTTCTCTCTATGAGCTGACAGCTCTAGTCTAAGCCCTTAGGTCTTGCCATGCTCGGGCCCTACTGCTGTGTCCAGTGCAGTGTGTGTTTGACTGGCCCCCTGTGCAGCTACAGTTGGTCCCTCCACACAGCATGAAACTTGGATTTAAAAACTTCTCATACTTTCCTCCTGCTTCCCTGGCTTGTGTCAGTTTGATTCTCTAGCCCAGATGGGAGACAGAAGTGGACTTAGTGTTTCCTAACATCACATGCATAGATTATCCTAAAAGTTACCACTGGGACTAAATGCTTGTATCAGGAATCCAGCAGCAGCTCTCGGGGGGGCTGAAGTCCAGGTGTGAGATAGGGCTGCCATTGTTTCCTGTCCCTCATGACCGTTGCAGGTCTCTAGGTGCAGCACCGGTGTCTGCACCAGGAAGCTTGTGAGCCTTCAGAAGGCTTACCCCAGAAATGAGACAGAGACACAGAAGGACACAGTGAAGAGGGAGGTAGCACATAAGTAACTTACTGTAAAGCAACTGCCTGCATCTGTTTGCTTTTGAGACAGGATCTCACTATATTGCCTGGGTTGACCACAAATGCTGGGCTCAAGCTGTAACCAGAGTCATAGGCTCTGGGACCTCCAACACATTAGTTCTAGTCATCTTCCCTAAAGAAAGCAAATGAAAACAGTGACGAAAAGGGAGGGTAAGATTTTAATCAACATAGCTATGTTGGGAAGGTGGAAATTAAATATGTCAGCTCATCCTTGTAATATTGATAGGAGATAGAGATTTTTTGTCTTTTTTTTTTTCCGACATAGTAAGTAGCCCAGGCTGGCCTTGAGCTCCTGATCCACAGGCTTCTACTTCTAAAAGTACTAGGATTGTAAGTGTGTACACCAGGCAGAGTGAGCTTAAAGATATAGGGCAAGGCCGGGCATTGGTGGCACATGCCTTTAGTCCCAGAACTTGGGAGGCAGAGGTAGGCGGATCTCTGTGAGTTCAAGGCCAGCCTGGTCTACAGAGTGAGTTCCAGGACAGGCTCCAAAACAATACAGAGAAGCCCTGTCTTGAAAAAGAAAACAAAACAAAAATAAAAACAAACAAAAAAGATATAGGGCAAGAATATGGGCAATGTCAAGAGCTGTGGAGAACGAAGCGGTCTTGATTAAACTGCAGTCTGGTTATTCATTTTCTTACTGTTTATTCTAGAAGGTGGACTAAAGAAATGCTCGATGATAGAGAGACAGGTAAGTTCCTATGAGGTAACTGCTCCTGTTTGGCGAGGTTAGTCCATGAGGTTCCTATGTTGCTAGAATGCAGGATGACCTCAGCGTAAGGACAGTAAGTTGAGTCCTTCAGGTGACTTTGGGATGACTGAAATAGGACATTGCAAATATCGACAGCAAAATGCCTCAGTGACCCTTATTTTTGTAGTCTTGAAGCAGGACAGCAGGTTGAGTATCACCAACTTTTAGATAGGTACTCTTTGAGTGGCTAATGTGCCTGCTTCCAGAGTTAGGCAGGAGCCTGGTCCACAGTTTTAAGACAAAAGAAATGGGAAATGTAGGCAAGGATGTCAAGCTCTCATCCTGCTTTTTGTTACCTTGTGGGCCCAAGAGGGATGTTACTGCTTTTTAGCAAAAGTAGTACTTGCCTACATGCCCGTTATAAAGCAAACCCTCTTCCCCCGCTTTCCCAAGAGGACCACAGCTGTGTGTCACCATGTTCTCTGGACATTTTTATCCCTTTGAGCAAGTTTGATCACGTTACCTTTTGATCTACCATATTTATACTAGATGGTGAGTTTAGACCAAACAATTTAGTGTAGAATTTAGATAACTCCAGTTATTTTTCACTGATAAAATATCTTAAAACTGATTCCCAATACAGTTGATCACCAATATTCATATATTTATATGGTATATTTATATTTATATGCCATTATGCCCACAGTACAATTCAGTTTCATCACAGAGTAAATTATTAAGAATTACAAAGGATGGCCAGACGGTGGTGGCACCCGCCTTTAGTCCCAGCACTCCAGAGGCAGAGGCAGGAGGATCTCTGTGAGTTCGAGACCAGCCTGGTCTACAAGAGCTAGTTCCAGGACAGCCTCCAAAGTTAGGCCCATTTCTCTTCCATCTCCTACCCAAAGTGCCTGAATGTAAAGCCTTAATTCTCTGCCTGTAAAAGTTTTCACTTTTACAATATCTTAGAACTAATACACCAACCCAGAGACAGCATTAAATTGATGACCAGCATAGACTGTCTCCACAGGCATTGCATGTTTGAATCAACTGTCTCCTCAAACATGTTCCTTCCTTAGTGGTGAAAACGTGCAAAAGACCCTATCTAGCTTCCGAAGCCCTCTTTACAGTGTACAGTGTACAGTGTTGTCACCACAGCCTTGCTTTAAAACAAACTGGGAGAGGCCGAGAAGGCTAAACTGTTAAAGACCACTGGCTGCTCTCCCAGAGGGGTGCAGCCTTCCACCAGGCAGCTCTCAACTCTCTTAACTCCGGCTCCAGGGGCCCTCTTCTGGCTCCCGACCGCACCTGCATTCTGCAATACACTCCTTCCCCAACACCTGCATTCATATAATTAAATAACAAAA